TTTTCCTTTGGGTAATGACACATCCACTCCCAGTCTTTATTCAAGCCTAAATTAATTGTATCCAGTTTGCAAATTAATTCCAATTCAGCAGTCTCTCGTTGGAGTCTGTTTTTGAAGTTTTTTTGTTGAAGAATTGCCACTTTTAGGTCTGTAATCAAGTGACCAAAGAGACTGAAGTGTTCTCCGACTGGTTTATGAATGTTATAATTCTTGACGTCTGATTTGTGTCCATTTATTCTTTTACGTAGAGGCTGTCCATTTTGGCCAATGTACATGGCAGAGGGGCATTCCCGTAGAATGGTTCACAGTGGTTCACAGTCAAGCTTAAAGGGCATCTCGAGTGAGGTCCCGCTGGGATCAGTTCTGGGTCCAGTTCTGTTCTCTATCTTCATCAATGATGTAGATAATGGCATACAGAGTACACTGATAAAGTTTGCAGAGGATACCAAGCTGGGAGGGTTTGCAAGTGCTTTGAAGGATAGGATTAAAATTCAAATGATCTAGACAAACTGGAGAAATGTCGGAAGTAAACAGAATTAAATTCAATAAAGACAAATGCAAAGTACTCAATTTAGGAAAGAACAATCAGTTGCACACATACAAAATGGGAAATGACTGCCTAGGAAGGAGTGCTGTGGAAAGAGATTAGGGGTTGTCATAAATATAAAGGGAAGGGTAAACACCTTTAAATCCCTCCTGGCCAGAGGGAAAACCCTTTCACCTGTAAAGGGTTAAGAAGCGAGGATAACCTCGCTGGCACCTGACCAAAATGACCAATGAGGAGACAAGATACTTTCAAAAGCTGGAGGGAGGGAGAAACAAAAACTCTCTCCCTTTTGTGTGTGTTATGCTTTTGCCGGGAACAGAAAGGAATGGAGTCTTAGAATTTAGTAAGTAATCTAGCTAGATCTGCATTAGATTCTGATTTCTTTAAATGGCTGATAAAATAAGCTGTGCTGAATGGAATGTATATTCCTGTTTGTGTCTTTTTGTAACTTAGGGTTTTTCCTAGAGGGATTCCCTATGTTTTGAATCTGATTAACCTGTAAGGTATTTACCATCCTGATTTTACAGAGGTGATTCTTTTACTTTTTTTCTTCAATTAAAATTCTTCTTTTAAGAACCTGATTGCTTTTTCATTGTTCTTAAGATCCAAGGGTTTGGGTCTGTGTTCACCTATGCAGATTGGTGAGGAGTTTTATCAAGCCTTCCCCAGGAAAGGGGATGTAGGGTTTGGGGGGGAAGATGTTTCCAGGCAGGCTCTTTCCCTGTTATATATTTGTTAGATGCTTGGTGGTGGCAGCAATAAAGTCCAAGGGCAAAAGGTAAAATAGTTTGTACCTTGGAATTTTTAACCTAAGCTGGTAAAAATAAGCTTAGGGGGTTTTCATGCAGGTCCTCACATCTGTACCCTAGAGTTCAGAGTGGGGAAGGAACCTTGACAGGGGGTCATAGTGGACCACAAGCTAGATATGAGTCAACAGTGTAACACTGCTACAGAAAAAAAGCCAACATCATTCTGGGCTGTATTAGCAGGAGTGTTGTAAGCAAGACATGAGAAGTAATTCTACCGCTCTACTCCGCTCTGATTAGGCCTCAACTGGAGTATTACGTCCAGTTCTGGGTGCCACATTTCAAGAAGGATGTGAACAAATTGGAGAAAGTCCAGAGAAGAGCAACAAAAATGATGAAAGGTCTAGAAATCATGACCTATGAGGGAAGATTGAAAAAACTGGGTTTGTTTCGTCTGGAGAAGAGAAGACTGGGGGGGGGGCATGATAACAGTTTCAAGTACATAAAAGGTTGTTACAAGGAGGAGGGAGAAAAATTGTTCTTCTTAACCTCTGAGGACAGGACAAAAAGCAATGGGCTTAAATTGCAGTAAGGGAGGTTTAGGTTGGAAATTAGGAAAAAATTCCTGTCAGGATGGTTAAGCACGGGAATAAATTGCCTAGGGAGGTTGTGGAATCTCCATCATTGGAGACTGTTAAGAGCAGGTTAGACAAACACCTGTCAGGGACAGTCTAGATTGCCACTTGTCCCGGACGACGGGAAAAAGGCTAATGTAGTGCCCATCTTTAAAAAAGGGAAGAAGGAGGATCCTGGGAACTGCAGGCCAGTCAGCCTCACCTCAGTCCCCGGAAAAATCATGGAGCAGGTCCTCAAGGAATCAATCCTGAAGCACTTACACAAGAGGAAAGTGATCAGGAACAGTCAGCATGGATTCACCAAGGGAAGGTCATGCCTGACTAATCTAATCGCCTTCTATGATGAGATTACTGGTTCTGTAGATGAAGGGAAAGCAGCAGATGTATTGTTTCTTGACTTTAGCAAAGCTTTTGACACGGTCTCCCACAGTATTCTTGTCAGCAAGTTAAAGAAGTATGGGCTGGATGAATGCACTATAAGGTGGGTAAAAAGTTGGCTAGATTGTTGGGCTCAACAGGTAGTGATCAATGGCTCCATGTCTAGTTGGCAGCCGGTATCAAGTGGAGTGCCCCAAGGGTCGGTTCTGGGGCCGGTTTTGTTCAATATCTTCATAAATGATTTGGAGGATGGTGTGGATTGCACTCTTAGCAAATTTGCGGATGATACTAAACTAGGAGGAGTGGTAGATACGGTGGCAGGTAGGGATAGGATATAGAGGGACCTAGACAAGTTGGAGGATTGGGTCAAAAGAAATCTGATGACATTCAACAAGGATAAGTGCAGGGTCCTGCACTCAGGACGGAAGAATCCAATGCACCGCTACAGACTAGGGACCGAATGGCTAGGCAGCAGTTCTGCGGAAAAGGACCTAGGGGTGACAGTGGACGAGAAGCTGGATATGAGTCAACAATGTGCCCTTGTTGCCAAGAAGGCCAATGGCATTTTGGGATGTATAAGCAGGGGCATAGCGAGCAGATCGAGGGACGTGATTGTTCCCCTCTATTCGACATTGGTGAGGCCTCATCTGGAGTACTGTGTCCAGTTTTGGGCCCCACACTACAAGAAGGATGTGGAAAAATTGGAGAGAGTCCAGCGAAGGGCAACAAAGATGATTAGGGGTCTGGAACACATGACTTATGAGGAGAGGCTGAGGAAACTGGGATTGTTTAGTCTGCAGAAGAGAAGAATGAGGGGGGATTTGACAGCTGCTTTCAACTACCTGAAAGGGGGTTCCAGAGAGGATGGTTCTAGACTATTCTCAGTGGTAGAAGATGACAGAACAAGGAGTAGTGGTCTCAAGTTACAGTGGGGGAGGTTTAGGTTGGATATTAGGAAAAACTTTTTCATTGGGAGGGTGGTGAAACACTGGAATGCGTTACCTAGGGAGGTGGTAGAATCTCCTTCCTTAGAAGATTTTAAGGTCAGGCTTGATAAAGCCCTGGCTGGGATGATTTAATTGGGGATTGGTCCTGCTTTGAGCAGGGGGTTGGACTAGATGACCTCCTGAGGTCCCTTCCAACCCTGATATTCTATGATTCTATGATAGATAATTCTTAGTCCTGCCATGAGGCAGGGGACTGGACTAGACGACCTTTCGAGATCCCTTCCAGTCCTATGATTCTCTAATAGGCAGGGTGGGGACTGGCCATGAAAGGCAGTGAAAGCGAAGACAGGTAGTTCCACAGTATGCATCCGATGAAGTGAGCTGTAGCTCACGAAAGCTCATGCTCAAATAAATTGGTTAGTCTCTAAGGTGCCACAAGTCCTCCTTTTCTTTTTGCGAATACAGACTAACACAGCTGTTACTCTGAAACAGGTAGGTTATGTTTCATGCAGTAGAGAAGGAGGAGCCAGTGAATGGAGGCAAAGAGGGGGTGACATGGGCAAAGCCATGGGCTAGGACATTGGTTCTCAAACTTTTCTTTTCACAGACCACTTGAAAATTGCTGAGGGTCTCGGGGGACCACTTAATGATCTTTCCAAATGTCATTTGTACCATTAGCTAACTATTGTAAAACTATATAAAAAAACCTTAATAATAAACGTTCTTTTGTCCTACAAATAAAAGCATGCTCATATTTTAATATCAGTAGTCTTACCTTTCTAATGTGATGGATGTGCCATCTCTCCCCCACCACAGCAGCCCCCGAGCTGGGGCTCGGAAGGAGGGGGGTCTCTCCCTCTCTCCCCCTACCACAGCAGCCCCTGAGCTGGGCCTGGGAAGGAGGGGGGTCTCTCCCCTGCCCCAGCAGCCACAGAGCTGGGGCAGGAAAGGAGGGGGGTCTCTTCCTGACAGCTGCAGCCCTGGAGCTGGAGAAAGTCGCCTCTTTCTCTGGTCGCCGCAGCCCTGCACATCCCAAATTCCCCCACCCCCTCTTCTCACCCCACGGCCCCCCTCCCACCTACCCCCTATTCCCCCCAAGGCCACCACCTCACCTTACACATGCATCTTCTCCAGGATCCAGGCACCTAATTAGTGGAGCCACGCCTGCGCGGCTCCACTAATTAGGTGGGTGCCCTTCATTCTCTCGTGTGCAGCCGCCCAGGCGTGCACCTTAGAGGGAACTATCCACGGACCCCTGAATGGAGCTCGCAGACCACTGGTAGTCCGCAGACCACAGTCTGAGAACCTCTGGGCTAGGAGAATGATCTTTATTAGGTTATTAGGCCCACACTCAGGAGACTCTCGCTTGACACTCTGGCTTCTTCCTTCTCCGTTTTTTTCTGTCTGCAGCTCTGGTCCAGTTGGTCCAGTTCTCCTTCCTTAGAAGTTTTTAAGGTCAGGCTTGACAAAGCCCTGGCTGGGATGATTTAGTTGGGGATTGGTCCTGCTTTGAGCAGGGGGTTGGACTAGATGACCTCCTGAGGTCCCTTCCAGCCCTGATATTCTATGATTCTATGAGTTGCATCGTGGGCTCTCCAGTCGCCACCTCTGCTCCTTCACCATCCCCCCCTTCTTTTTGCTTCCCCATCCTTGGCACCTCTACCCAGCTCACCCCACTGCCCAGAGCCTCTCCCCTGCTTAGCAGCTCCTTTGGGGCTTTACCGCTTGAACACAGCTCCGGCCATACCTTACTGCTGCAGGAGAGAAGATCCCAGCTGCATCCTGGTCTCAAGAGTCCCGCCTCTCTCGGATTTCACTGCACACCTGGGGCTGCTCTGGGGAGGTGGGGCGGGGCAGGAGCCCACTAGCAGCCCCTCATATTCCTCCACTGCTGATTAACAACTGCTGCAGCCAATGGAAAGCTCGGTCTGATTGTGATGTCAGGGCTTTGCACTTTCATTCAGGAGGTTACAATAATCCACCACAGGCAACAAGTGGGCAAGATGCTGTGACGGTTTAACCCTTTGTTTGACAGTCCTTCCTGTCACCTGCAGTGCACCCCCACCCCACTATTAACTCTTTCACTGCTGATACGTATTAGCATTTTTAGGAGTCATGCCTTGCTGCAGAGCAGCCCACACTCTTCTCTCTCCCCCTTAGGGTGACACAGGATCCCCAGGACTGAGTCACCTCGTTCTGTGGCCTGATAGATACAGAACATCCTCTACAGCTCTGTTAACATTCGCCCCATCCACACACAGGGTGTTCTGTGAATTAACAGAGCTTCTGCCTGTGTGTGCCTGCCACTGGAGATCGCTGCACTGAGCACATATGCCCTCGCACTTCAGGTGTTTCCCGGGCCCCAACTGCATTGGGTCCCGAGCTCTGTGTAGCTCACATGGCTGGAATCCCAGCCAGCTGTCTGTGCTGATGCTCGCACTACCGGAGTCCCAGCTGAGCATTGCCAGACACCCGCACACATGGCACTGATAGGGCTTTGGGACGTAGAAGTTCCTCCTCTGTGGCTCCTAAAACAGGACGGGCTAGTTTGTGTAACCTCTCAGTGGGTTTTTTTGAAAAGCTGCTTGGATTCCAGCCCCCGTTCCTCCCAAGATCGTGGTGGTTTGGAGCCAGGGCCCATTTTGGGACAGGCTCCCTTTGAGTTAGTCCCACTAGCTGAGTGACACAGAGTGAGACAGACAGCGAGAAATGGAAGAGAAGGGATGGAGTGAAAGCAGCGAGCAGATGATCCAGCAGGTGGGTGGTGGGTGGGTGGCTGCAAGGGGTGGGGTGTAGAAAAGAACCTGGGGGAAATGAGGGAAGAAGAGGTTAGAGGGAGGAGGAGACAGTGGTCTGGAGTGAAACAGATGCTGAAAAAGAGAGGTGGGGGCAGGGGGAAGCAACCAGGATTCCAGAACAGGGAAGAGAGGAGCAGAATGTGTGTGTATGAGAGAGAAAGAGGCACCAACGACTTTGTGAGACAGAGGTGTCAGAGCAGAGATGCTGAAGTGAACTGGCCATTTACAGTGTAATTAGTCATGAGGCCACCCGGTCCAGCCAGGAATTCTGAAGGAGCTTAAGTACGAAGTGGCTGGGCTCCTAGCAAAAATATGACACCTCTCCTTCTATGCTGTCACTGTTGTAGATGGTAGCAAATATTGGGCCTATATTTAACAAACTCTGTAAGGGCGATCTGGAGAATTCTAGACCTGTAAGACATATCTGTTCCTGGCACAGTTTCTGCAAAGGAAAGTCATGTCTCACTAGTCCCTTAGAATTCTTTAAACATACCAATGAAGTAACAGCTAAAGGAGACCAGTTGCCATCATTTATTTGTATTTCAAAAGGCCTTTGACAACACCCCACACAAGAGGCTGCTAAAAGGCAAAGTTGTCATGGGGTGAGAGGCAAAGTACAGTTACGGCTCAAAAACTGGCTAGGAGACCGAAAACAAAGAGTAGGGTTCAATGGTCAATTTTTCATCATGGCCAAAGGTTAACAGCAGGGCCATAAGGCTCTGTACTTGGTCCCATGTTGTTTCATTTATGTATTAATGACCTGGAAAGTGGGAGAGTAGTGAGGTAGAAAAATGCCCAGTTGACACAAAATTGTTTCGGTTCGCTAGGACCACAGAGAACTGTGGGGAACTTGAGAGAGATCTGAACAGGTTTGGTGAATGGGAGAGATGACTGCAGATGAAATTCAATGTTTAGAAATGCAAAGTAATCCACATTATGAGGGGAAATGTAAACGACTCACACCTCTTACAGGGGTCTGAATTAACTGGACCAGCCCAAGAAAAGGACCTGGGTGTCATTGCAGAAGCTCAGTGTAAACCTCTGCTCAATGTGCAGCTGTGGTCAAAAAAGCAAACAGGATGTTAGAGTGCATAAGGGATGGGGTTCGTAGAGTCTGAGGCCTGAAGGGCCACTGTGATCATCTTGTCTGACCTGCTGTAGAATACAGGCCCCACCGTCAGTCCTGGAACAGAGCTTTTAGAAACCCATCCAATCTTGATTTAAAACTTGTCCGTGATGGAGAATTCAGCACAACCCTTGGTAAGTACACAACAAAACCTCAGCTAAGTTCTAAGCCTAAACAAGGAAAGTGTGTTTTCCATCCACCCCAAATTGGGTTTTTGGGACAGACAATAAACAAAGAGGGACTCGGTCCTAGTACAAAGAGCACAAACACATCAGGCTGATCCACAGAAAAAGCTTCATCTCCTTGGTCATTTCGGTCTTCAGTTCTTGCCCTCCTTGGATTTAGAAGCCAGTCTGGGCATGAGGAGGAGAAGAGAAACCCTCAGCCCTCCCATCCCATCCAGCGCTCTCCAGTCCAACGGTCTCCTGCAGAGTATCCCAGAGACTGTCATCAGACAGACGCTCACACAACCTAACTTGGCATTCAGGTCATAGCTGCCTTTGGCATGGGGTTTGTGCCCACTCTTCTCCCCCCGCAGCCCAGCGAGGCCAAATTTCCCTCCCTCATTCCCCTGCTGCATTGTGGCAGAAGCTCCTTCTTTCCCTGGGCATCTCCATGCCCTGGGCACACCCTCAAAGAGAGACAAAGCAAGAGCACCGAGCCACAGCAGTCAGGGGCTGTAACCTTCTGACGGCACCAGGGAGAGCCAGGCACTCTCTGGGCTCTTATAGGGCCCCGTCACCTTAGTGTGTGAGCAACAAGCAGGACTCAATGCAACAGCAGCAATGTTGAGATCCGGAGCTCCCTGCAGCCCCGGGACACAATTGGCTGCAAGGCCCCGGGCCCTCAAAGCAGTGCTCCCATCCCTGAGGTCCTGTTTAGCTGGCTTCTCAGTGAATAATAAAGACACTGATGCTGAGAGCTCTGGTCCCAGTCTTTACTGAACAGCCCCTTGCCTGCTCTGCCAGCGGCCTCTGGAAACCTCCCTCCCAATGGATCCTGGTGTTCACAGCATTCTCCCCAGTCTGGTGATAAAGGAGTCATGGGAACAGCTGGAATTAGAGGATTGGACACCAAGGTGGCTTCTGACTGGGAATCTGCTCGTTCTGCCTAGGAGATGACTGGTTATGTCTGGGAGCCGACTTATTCCCCCCTGGGGCCGACTGATTACATTTGGGCACCGACTTGTTCCATGTAGCAGGCTGCTTCTTGCACTCAGAAGTGGATTGGCTGTATCTGTGAGTGGACTCATTTTATCCTGCAGTTGACCGCTGACATCTGGGAGCAGACTGGTTGCATGCAATACCTGACTTGTTCTTCCTTGTAACTGATTCATTTCAGCCTGCGGCCAGCGGGTTATATCCGGGAGCAGCCGACTAGCTCCTTTAGAGAACAGCTGTGATTCTCCTGGTGGGACTGGACTTGTTCCTCCTTGGAGCTCGCTCCGTCTGCACAAGAGCTTCTTGGTTCCATCCAGGAGCTTCTTCATTCCACCCAGGAGCTTGTCCATTCCATCTGACTGCCTCTTCTTTGTTCCACCCAGGAGTAGCCTCCTTCCACCTGGGAGCAGCCTCATTTCAGTTGGTGGTAGACTCTTCTCATCTGCAATTGGCTTGTTCCACTCAGCAGCCAGCTCATTGCTCCTGTCAGCCACCTTGGTGCAGCTGGCCGCTGACCTGTTCCACTCATAAGGTGATGTGTATCTGGGAGCTGGGGCATAGCCAGCAGCCGACTCTTTCCATCCAGCAGCTGCTTCGTTGCATCCAGCTTGCAACTTGTTCCATCCAGCATGCAGCTCGTACACAGGAGCTGAGTCAGGTCTCTCTTGGGTCCTGCTCCATCCATCATACAACGCACACTCCTCATGTGACCTGTATCCAGGAGCTGCCTCAGGTCTGTCTTGTCCCCTGCTCCATCCAGCATGCAGCTCATATACCACAGCTGACTCGTCTCTGTCTTGTGGCCTGCTCCATCCACCGTACGACGCAGACGCCTCATGCATCTCGTATCCAGGAGTCGTCTCCTGTCTGTCTGGTGTATCGTTCCATCCACCGTACGACGCATACGCCTCATGCATCTCATATCCAGGAGTCGTCTCCTGTCTGTCTGGTGTATCGTTCCACCCATCGTATGACGCAGACGCCTCATGCATCTCGTATCCAGGAGTCATCTCCTGTCTGTCTGGTGTATCGTTCCACCCATCATACAACACATACTCCTCATGCAACTTGCATCCAGGAGCAGACTCAAACTCATAATGTGACTCATTCCATGTGCCATGCGGCTCATATCCCTCATGTAACTTGTTCCACCCATCATAAAACTCATATCCCCCATTCAACTCATTGCATGCTTCCTGCGACTCGTATCCAGGGTGTGATTCACTCCTTGCTGCTTCTCTGTTGCTCCTCTCAGCACCCGTCACACCTGCAAGAAATCAGACTTGTTACGCCCAGAATGCACCTCGCTAGGCCCAGCATGAGAGTTGTTCCCTGTTGCTGCTCTGCTGTTTGTCTCCTCAACCGTCAAGAATTGACCCTTGTCAGCATTTGTGGACCCTCCCAGCGCTGCCCTGAGAAGAGTCTTTGGGCCAGTAACTGGAGGCCCAGCTTTAAACTCCAATCCCGCACTGGGACATCAACTAGGACGGTAACTGAGGCCCAGGCCCACCCGGCAGCAGGGCCTTCACTCAGCACTAAAGACCTTGATTGACCTAAAGGCCCTTATTCCATTCACAGGCTAGCTGTAGAGGATGGTACAAGGGATGTTGGTCAAGAGCAGACCTCGGGGGAAGAGGCAAAGTGGGGACAGGGCCTCGGGGGCAGGGCCATAGTCCGGGCGCCCGTGGGCCCCCCCACACTTCTAGGGAGCTTCCAACACTTGTGTGTAAGCC